GCGCCGTCCCTGCTGGGTTCCCGTTGGCGCTCGCGGCCGCGGCCGTCGGCATCCCATGCGCCGCCGCCGCCGCCGCCACGGTCCCTATCTGCTTCTCGCCCGCGTGCGCCGTCGCGGTCCCTGTCCCGGCCAAAGGGCTGCGCCTGCCATTCGCCGCCCGCGGGCTGGTGGGCGGGCCCGCCGGGGCCGCCGCGGGTCCAGGGCTCGGGGGAGGGCGGCGGGTAGATGCCTGGGGGCGGCCAGGTGGGGGCCCGGTGGGGGCGCCGTGGTTGGGTCGCGCGGGAGTGGGTGCTAGCCCAGCGGGGCGCAGTTGCTGCTCGTACTGTTTCCCATGCTTGAGCATGTGTCTTCGACTGCATTGTGCAATTGCAGCACTGGGCTGCGAGGCGGTTGGCCCCACTCGAGCTGCTGCTGGTCTGTTGCATGCGCACGGCTGCGCCTGGCGTTGAGAATAGGCAGCAGAGCCTGCACTGCAACACATGGGCGCCCTTGAACCTTGTGACCAAAACCGCTGCGGTCCACTCTCTGGCTCTCGTCTGGGGGCTTCGCCGTCGTGCGGCTTGCAGTGTAATCAGCGCACCTGGCGGCGGCGGCCCTCTCCGCGGCATGCCGAGCGGACCCGGCGGCATGAAAGGCGGCGGGCCCCTGCCGGCGAAGCGCCCGCCAAACGACGGTCCATCAAACCGGCCGCGCCTGCCGCTGAACTGCCCGCCGCGCACGAAAGGAGGGGGCCTGTCGTCGCCAGGCGCCCCCCAGTCTCGTTTCTACAAGAGTGACGGGCACGGTGTAAGGCTTATGCATGTCGACAGACAGTCAGTAGCAGGCGCAACATCCGTATGTGATCTGTCCCTCACCCAGCCACGGTCTCTGTAGTCGTCCCCCATAACTCCTCGCTGCCGATGTCCTAAGCGGCCTTGGAGCCTTGCGGGCCCGTCTGTTGGGTGCACACCATTCTGGTATGATACAAGCCCGCTGCCCCTGCAGTAGGCCTCAATAGAGCACGTATCATAAGGTATGCAGGAGACAATGAAAATCAATGCGACTGACGCGTGCTACGGTATTCCTGCAGCAGCTTACAGCTTGCTGCTTGGCGCGCCTGCGGCGCGCCCTGGGCGCGCCCGAGACGATTTTTGCGTGCTGTTGGCCCGTGGACGGCGCACTGCGTGCGCGTGCTTGCAGCGCATGACGCGATTTTCCGGAAGTCACTTGTGGCTGCTGGGTGCGGCTCGCACTCGGCGGCGGGCAGCAGCTTTGTGTCACGATGACCCATGAACCCAGCGTTGCAGGGTGCAGATCCCATCGTGGCCGCATGACAAAGCGCTCGGCGTGATCGCACCGCGTTGGAACAATCACAGCAAGCACTAGAGCCGTGCCCCATATCCTTGACACCAGCCATGTGCCATCAGCGCATTCAGCAAGCTACAAGCTTGCTGAGCTGCATGCGCACGACTGCACAGCAGCTGCACAAGTTATCGTCATGCAAACGGCAGCGGGGCCAACATTTTTCGACCTGGCGTATTGAGCTTCGATTATCCTGGAAGCGGTATGATATTCGCAACCATAGCATGTCAACGTTGGTGCTGGACGGCCGCATGGCGCTGTTAAATCTGTTGTCTGGTGCAGGCAACTGCACAACCAAAACAAACGCGACAGGGCACCAGGGCACCTGAGACCTTGTTATTTGCGCGCAACCCCAACCTTTTCTCAGCTGATACCCCAGGATTGTGACAAAATGCAAGCTTAATCTCCCGAGTGCTCAAAAAGCGAGCGAGGCCAAGGCACCCTATGTGAGCAGCGTGCGGGCATCGCAGCAGATGTACACCATACACCCCCAATCATGGCATGGCAGGCCAAAATTATTGCTTTCCAAAAACGCACTGCAGGGTGTCGCAGCGCGACTATGGAATGCAGGGACCCGGGCTACTGGGCTGGGGAGCGAGCAGGTGTGGTCAGCGGGTGACGTGGGTGACCATGCCAAACGAGTCCCGGAAAAATCGAGCGCGACAGCTTTAAAAGAGCACCACTTTCCTGCCGGTCTGCCTCGCGCTGCCTGAAATTGCATTTCGGATCGTGCCCCCGACCACGCTCGCTTCAGCCTCCGCTCAGGCTCCCCAAGGGGTCTGGGCGGACGACAGCCGACATGATGGTATTCTTGGAACCTGAGGCCCTTCAAACACGCGCGCTTGCGTCGCAGTCTGGCAGGCTCCGCGGTTCGTGCATGCTGACAGCGGCATTGCTCTTGCTATTCTTCGCATCCCAGCTCACCGCGAGGCAGCATGCTGAACCACTGGTCAGCGAGCGCTTGTCGCTTCCTAGCATCAGCATGCTGCACGCCACTCGCACTGGCGACCATGTGAGTCGGAACGCATTCGCTGGCGCTGGATGCCTACGCTCCCAAAAATTGGCCCCTCGGCCCCCTTCATGACACATTTGGTGCATTATTGGTTCAGGAGACATGCGTGTAACGCCATTAAAACATGGCAGCGATGACGGATGAAAGCCTGAGCGATGACGGATGCAAGCCCTGAGCGTCAACACTGTTGACCCCATGCGCTGAGCTTCCCTCCCTCCTCCCGCGGGTGTGCGCCCCTCCATCCGTCCGCTCGCCACCCACAGCAGCAGGACATGCGGCGCATGCTGAGGATATATGACAGCCTGCAAGAGAATTTCGCAAACAACGGCCTGGACCTCGAAGCCATTCAATCATCCGCCAAGGTGGGATTAGGGAGTTGACTGAGAGGGCAGATTTAGGGGGCACGTGACACGTTTCACTGCAAGATGCAGTGCGGCTCGTGGCCTTGCACCAGCTGCGATTGTCTGTTTGTCACCAAAATGCGAGGGGCGGGTGCAGGGCTGCTGCAGGGCAGCCGCGGGGCAGCTGCGGGGCGGCAATGACAGGCTCTTCCTCGCCTCTGTCCCCTGCCGACCCGCCCGCCCAGCTTTTCCGCGGCGTCTTTCCTGTTGCGCCTGGGGGCCAGTTGCTCGCACCCCCTGGGCCTCTGTCACCGCCGGTCACTCTGAACTACAGCCAGTGGCCCCAGCCGCTGCCAGACGGGACAGTGCGCCTGGTGGTCGTACCCATAGCCGAGCTTGAGATTGCATCGACTATCCAGAAGGTGGGGCGGTAGCGGCAGCAGCTGCTCAAGGACAGTCATAGTTGCTGAACCCTTGGCTGGGTTTGGCCGCACACCAGCAGGATGGGGAGGCACCATGAGAGCTGGCACCCAGGCCAAGGAGCAAAAGACCGTCTTGGGCACCCTGCACCCGCCCCCTGTGCTCGATTGACCTAAGGGCATCGAATCGCTCCTCCCTCGCAGATCAATGCCAGCATATCGGCGCTCCTGCCGCCGGACACACAGATCTTCGCAAACCCTGCCGGTGATTATCACTGCACCATATTCCACCTCTCACACCTCTACGACCCCCGGCCGGACACGTCGAGCGACGAGAAGGTGGCGCGGCTGCTCAGCTTGGCACCCCATCTGCGCCCAAAGGTGCGTGCAGAGCAAGCGTTTGTGGCGCGGGCGCCTCAACAAGCCTCGTTGCTTGCGCGGCGGCGCGGCCCTGCCATGTCCTGCCGCAGCTTATGATATTGTCAAGGGCAGGCTTTTTGCATAATGCAAGGGAGGGGCCTCGGTGCATGTGTGCCTGTGGCATGTTTCAGCTATCATGGCGCAGCCTGCCGGGCGTTTCACGGGCGAGGAACGGCGGCCCCGCCTGGCAAGTTGCCAGCCAGTCTTTTGCGGTGCATGTATGACCTAGCCTGCCGCTGCATGCACCATGACGTACTTTGACACATGAACAAGCATGCACGTGTGCTCTGATTGCTACCCCGCCCTCTGTCTTCCAGCCACTCGCGCACGAGGGCTCCCTGCCGAACCCCACCCACACACCCCCACACATGATGCAAATGTGCGCATGCACACATGCACTCATGTACAGGCATGTACAGATGCATTCACATATAAGCGCACACATACCCCAAGAACACAGCATGCACGTGCAATCACTCGCATTAGACACACACAAACATACCCATGTGCACACACACATACACACACAAACAGATAACGAAGAGAGCATATCGCCGAGAGTGGCGCCGCGTTCGGGAGCTGCTGTCGCTGACGCCGCCCCCAACCCTGGAGGTACGCACGCGCGGTTGGCTTCGGCGCCTGAAGCTCTCGCACCACGCGGCACCTGCCAGCTTGCCAATCCATTTTACAAGTCGCGTCACCCCTGCCACCTTAAAACAAAACCAAGATGCCTGTGCCTTCACAAAAAACCTCGTCGGACACTCCCCACCCCATTAAACTGCCGCACTTTCCTGCTTGCAGTTGGACCGCGTCTTGCTCGCGCCGACAGGGACGCTGCTGGTGACGTGGCGCAATCCCGATGGAAGGATCCAGGCGCTCCGCCGGGCAATGGCCCAGGTGTTTCCTGGCGCCACTGGCCGCCAGGCGGGGATCGTCCACACCACCGTAATGCGCGTGCTGACGGCTCGGCAGCTGCCGCGGGCGGCGGCGGAGGCGATACGGTCCGAGTGCGAGCGGTGGACGCAAAAGGTGCGCGCTGTGTTTTGTGGTCTGCAGGCACGGCGTCGCATAGCGCTGTTGGTATGCACGACCGTAACCATCCCCTTGCTTGCAAGCGTCACCTGTGTTTGTGATTCATCCAGCACCGCATCCAGGTGAACCACCCCTGTCCCATACCCTCTCACCCTGGAAATGAGCTTCTCTGAAAAGCAACGCCCCTCGCTCGCCGCCTCGCCCACCCGCCCCCGCCGCGCAGCTGCGCGGCACCCGCGCGACGCCTCTGGCGTTTTGGTACGTAAACGAGGCCCAGTTCTCCACAGTGCAGGGCGAGCGTATGAGGTGCGTGCCTCCTGCTTGCGGGGGCTGCTGGTTTGCAGCAACTTGGGGTGACGGCCCGTTGGTGGTGGTGGCAATAATGCATGTTTACTGTTGGAAGTTATTAGACTTTTCAGATTTTTATGAATGCAGCTCGTCATTCACGTTTGACACTGATGTTGTATACGTGCATCCTGTTCGGACTACTCCAGGTTTTCACTGGCCGCCAGCAGCAATGCCAGCGGCCGCAGCTGCGGCGCCTGCAGTGGCATTAGTAGCTACGGCCCGGGTGGCGTGCAGCAGAACGCGTTGGATGAGGCGGCGGCCCGGCGGCAATGATGCGGCACCCGGCGGCACGTGCTGCGGGGGAGGGCCACAGGAGCACAGGAGCACAGGAGCTCAGGATGACTCATGGCGCGGCGGCTCTTTGCGACGCGAGGCGCCTCTTGACTGCGGAGGTGGCGGAGGTTCCGCAGTGGCAAATTGCCCTAACGCATTATGTGACTTGACGGCTTCAAAGTGATTTCTCCCTACTCTTATTACGTGACAACAACAAAAGCGTACATCTGAGAGCTTAGAGAATGTTGAACGCTAGGCCCCATGCATACAGCCGCAACGCCGCTCGTGGCAGGTGCCCAGTCAGGGTGGTGTCGTGAGTGCCATGTGTGCTGAGTCACCTGGTCTGCTGGTGTGCCGCCATCTTGCGGGTGACTGGGCGCTGGACTGTGCGGCACACCAAGATTGCAAGCCCAGGCGACTCTTGCTTGTATACGTGCTCCTGCGGCTCGATTGTGTGGCGGTGTCGGCTGTTTTGGCGGCACGTGCTTTGAAATTGGGTGCCCCTGGGTTGTAGCACTTCCTCAAGCAGTTTGTGGCTAGAAGCCTGTTTGCAGCTGATTCCCCCACCAAAAATATTATCCAAACTGCCTTTTTCCCTGTCGCAAAAACCTTCTTTGCCTTCCCTTCCTGTTGCAAACACATGCACAAGCAGCACCCTGCCTGCCACAACACGGTGCGAGCAACCGTGCATTGTCATGCATTCCTGTAATTGCTTATGGTGATTCAGCAGGCCTGCTGCTCCTTCGCTGGCCTGCATAGCTGTGCTAAGGAAACACTCTGGGGACGATGTGCTACGCCTGTAGGTTGCCAAGGGGTTGCCAACTTAAAGCAGCCTTGTGTTGCGAAAGTCAAACCACAGGTCAACTGTTAGCACAGCTCCCCCAAAGCGCACAGCCAAAGCAGGCCGCTCCATCGGGGATGCAAATGCAAGATTCTATAAATAATAATTTTGGAGCCTCTTCTTGTACAGGAGGGGTTTGTGCTGAAGTCTTTGGGCCTGGCTGGTCAAGAGCAGTGCTCTGCAGGCCAGTGCGCGACCTGTGCGTGCGCCTTCTTGTCAGAACCACTTCATTTGGACAGCCATCTGATCCGCTGAGTTTCCATCGCGCTGTGCATTGCTGCTACGATATTCGCTGATCCGCGTGCCACCCAAACCACACGATCTGAGTGTCAGCGCAAGTAGCCATGCAGCTCAGCAGGCGTCCCGTGGCAGTCAGCAGCACGAGGCACGTGGCTCACCCATTTGCCACACCTTGTGCTGCCCCCGCTGCTGGGCGCCGCGCCGCACAGCAGGTGCAGCGTGCCGCTGACACTACTGGCGCAGCTTCATCCTCTGACCCCCCGTGCGTCCCCTTGGACATGCAAGCATAATATGCAGCGGGCGTCTGCCTGTTTTATGTGCTGTCAGCTGCGGCAGTTGTCACCAGCCATTGGCCCTGAAGTGGATGGGCGGGCAGATGGGAACATGCACATGTGCAAGACGTCGTCCCTAGCGCTCACACGGCACTCCGTTCAATCGCAGGGCCCGCCAAGCCATCGCAGGCTTTGTGAGTGGCATTTACAAGGCCACTGCCGCATTCCAGCAGGTGGACCCCTCACTGCCGCCGCTGTGGCAGGTGGGTGCACGGTAGCCGCGACACCGAGCCGTGCAGGGGGGGGGGGGAGAGAGGCGACGCGGCGCCACCGGCATTGTGGACAGTGAACGACAGCCACGCACGCAGCTCGACGCAGCCTGAGACACCGGGGCGGTGATTGCGGGCCGGCGGTTTCAGCGGCTGCGCCCCTGGGCTACAACGCAGCTGGAGCGGGGGGCTCGGGGAGAGGGATGCTGATACGCTGGGGACCAGTAGCACCAGGCACACCGCCACGCGGAACCGTGCATGCGGCGCGGCGCGAGCAGGCGCTCCGCTGCATTATGGGACGTCCGGCCCTCAGCAAACACCGACGGAGGACGGGTACCGCTTCTTTGTCACCGGCTGAGCACGATCAGCGTCTCTCGCCGACTGCATGCCTGCGCCCACTCACCTTGGATGCCCCGTCTTCTTCCCTGCCAGGCCATCACCAAGCTGGACAAGGCGGGGGTGGAGGCGGCCATCAGGGCGGGCGCCGACCTTAACGCGCGCAACGCCGCCGGCGACACGCCGCTGCTCTACATCGCCCGCGAGGTGCGGCCCGCGAGCGCCCCGCGCCCCCACGCCCTCGCGCGCGCCCATGGCTCCCTCTCCGGCAGTGCCCCCTGAGAGGGGCGACGGAGGCGGCGCCCTCTGGTGCAGCGGGGCTGTTCGGACTTCGCCCCGTCGGCACAACGCGGGCCGGCGCGCCTTCTGGGCTGCCCTGCCGCCCGACCGGCGCCCCCGCCCCCCTCGCCTCGTCAGCAGCCACCTTCCTCTGGGCTAGCATGCTCCCCGCCGCCGCCGCCTCAACGTAAGGCACCGCCCAACCCTGTTTTTTCGCAGGGCCACTACAAGTTCCCCCCAAAGGACATCCCCCTGGCCCTCATCCAGGCGGGCGCTGACCTGGAGGCTAAGGACAGGGACGGCAAGACGGCGCTGGACGTTGCCCTTCTTTCCGGGTGGCAGAACATCGCGGGTGCGCGCCGCCGCCGCGGCCGCAGGCGCCGGCGTGGGTTAGGGGCCCGGTTTGGGCGCGTGGCCGCCCCGCCACGCTCGCTCGGACGCAGCCCCATGTATTGGTGTCGAGGCTGCTTGGACGCCGCTTGCTGTCTGACAGCTCGGCGAGCGGTCCCAGAGCGAGGTGGGACCCATCGAGCTGTCCAAGGCAGCAGGGCTTCAGATCAGATCGCCCACCTGCTGCCCCGGCCCCGCCTCTGCCGCCCCTCGTGCAGAGCTGCTGATCAAGTCCAAGGCCCAGACGGGCGGCGTGGCGGCCATCAAGGGTGCCGTCACCTGCCCCGACTGCAAGCGCATCATCGCTCAGTACGCGTTGTAATGGGCCCGGCGCGCAGTACCTGCGATGATGTGATCATCATGCATGCCCTGATAAGGAACAGGGGCCAAGGAGCCAGCAAGTAGCCTTTCCACCCCCCCCCTCCTGGTTCGTCTGCTGGCAAGTCCTGCTGGTGTCGTTCCGTGCTGACAAAGCGCCGTTTTTTGGTTGGCGATACACCATTGCGCGGCCCTGGGGTGCACATTTTTCTAGAATCAATCCAAATACAGTGACCGCAAACGCCGCGTGTTGCACTACTTAGTGTCAAGCCAGGGCGCAGGGGTGTGAGGCTGTACGTGCTCTACATGCAAACACCATTCAATGCACTTGTAACATGATCAGCAGCTGCACAGGCAACACAATTATGCACAAATACGAGCGGCACACTACCCTACAGCGTACAATAGGGTTCGTTGGGGATCATAATCGAGTATGAATTGACTAGAATGTGCTGATGATGCCCTTGACAGGGAGCAACCCCCATCGGCAAAGGCGCAAGGCCACCATGCAAAACGTGGCCCTGGCCAGGCTCACCCCTTCAGTGAGGGGGGGCAGGGCGGCTCCTGGCCCTACACCTAGCGTCAACGACGAACCCCGCGCTCATGCGACGTCAAAGTGGCCGCCCTGCTTCATGCCGGGCACTTTGTGGTCTTCTGGCACCGGCCGCAGCTCGTAAACAGCCTCCACCGCCCGGCGGTTGCGCTGCAGTGGGGAGCGCAGCCGGAGGTCGGCAGCAAGAGGTGTGGTCGGTGGGTCGCGCGACGGCGGGTTCCAATGTGTGATTGTCACTGGTGCTGCAGCTCGGAAGTGACAGAGGGGGCCACGCACCACAGATGCAACGCAGCGACGCTGGTGGAGCGCAGCGCTGTGCTGCCCACGCACCTCTGAAAAGTCGCCCTTCAGCCCTATGAATGTGATCTCGCTCTGGTCGGACCCAAAGGTCCCCTGGAAGTGCAGCGTCAGGGTGTGGACGCTGCCAAACTTGGCCACCCTGCGGGTGAAGGCAAACATGGGGGAGCACGGGCGGCAATCACGCCGCAAGCGGAACGGCCGAACGGCGAGGTGCAGCCAGTTGGCAGAGCCGTCGCCGTCCGAAGGGTAACGCGTCGTCCCTGGAGGGCAGCTTCCAATGGCCAAGGGGGCTGCTGCTGCGACAGCGGGGCGATCGCGTCGGCCACACCAACGCCCTATCGCCACCCTGGGGCAGCGGGGGGCTTACTGTGTCGGGTACTCTACTGTGCCGCTGGCGTTGTCCTGCTGCAATTCAAACTCCTGGACGGGCGCCATGGCGTGGGCCGCGCTGAAATCGAGGTCGTCACGGTTTATGAAGCTGTGGGAGGGGGGGGGCGGTCGGCGGTTGGCGGTTGGCGGCTGGCGGTTGAGCGTGTTGGCCGAGTGTCGGGGCACTGGAGGCGGCTGGAGGCGGCTGAGAGCGACGGGGCCGCCGCTTGGCGGGTGGGCGGATGGATTGGGCGGCACCGGCCCGGCGCCCACTCGTGCCGCCGTAATCGTGTTTATCATCTTGTTCTATTTTTTTGTGCCGGCCCACAATACAGGCGTACGCAGCCATAAGGGAACCCTGGGGCTCTCACAGCCGCATCTTGGCCGGCGCCCGGCCCTCTCCACCGCCGATGACGCACACAGCCTTGAGCTTCACCGCTCCGTCAAACCTGAGAGGTGGGCGGCAGGGGTGGAATCAGGATGACGAGCAGGCGAGGCGAGGCGTGCGCCAGCGCTTTCCTACACTCGCCGGCGGCCCGCGTCGCGCAAACCTCCACTGCCAAATGTAAAGCTCCGGCGGTGGCCGTGCGCGCGAGTCCGCCCCGGCGCGCGGCTGTGGTCGATCTGCTGTGCACCTCGGGCGGGGCGTGCCTGCAGGCATCGCAAGGGCAGATCTGAGCAGGAAGGCCACGCGTGCATGGCTGCCGGCGGCGGCCTGGGCTTGACTTTTTTCCACTCACGGCACAGTGAGCAGGAGCTCTTCGTCGTCGGGGTCGCTGCGCAGGGGCTGCGCCACGGGCTGGGTTCGCGCCTCCCACGGCCGGAACACGTTGCGGCAGGACCCCTCGGCGTCCTCGTTCAGGCAGCGCACCTGCGGCGTTGGCGCGGTGCGGGACGGCGCGGCGCGGCGCGGCGCGGAGGCGTCGCTTGGGCTGGCCGGCAAGCAGTACAGGCGCGATCCTTCCTGGCGAGATCGCCGTTCTGTCCTTGAGAAGCATGAGCGGTTCCCACGCGTTTGCAGAGATGCGACTATGGCTGGGAACGCTCAGCGCGTGGCATTTTGGAGCAAGCTAAGGTGTGCGTTGGCGCGCCGCCGCAGTGCGGCAGCGGCAGTGGGTGTGGCACCTGCTCGAGGCTGATATGCTTGTACAGCGAGTAGGCGGGTCCGCAATCCGTCGCGTCACAGTCATGATCGTGGCTGCAACATCCTTGCGAGGGTGGCATGGATGCGGAGTCACTTGCGCTTGGAGTACGTGTTTCAGTAGCGGCCGTGATCAAGGATGCTAAGCACAATTGACAAGTGATCGCGAAATAATCTGTCATATCCGAGGTCTATTCTTACAAGCATATGCTTCCTCCTACTACAGGGGCCTGACCCTTTTGCGGATCTTGACTACCTGTCGACACCCAGCAAGCTGATGCAGCCGGTCTACAGTATTATGAGATAGACTATTTAATTTCAGCATTTTATTTCAAGCTACTGCATCCAGGTCTGCGGTCAGGTCGACAACAACCCTGCAGCGCCGAGACTTGGCACTCCTTTACCGTATTACAAGCCGACAGCGCGTGCCTGCGACATCAATTGCGCAAAAAAGGGGCGCCATGAGGTTACCGACGGCTGTGTGCAGGCAACAGGAGATGCATGTTGCAATGACGCAGCATGTCCGTGCGGCGTGGCACCGGGCACCCCTGCGGGCGCCCTTGCGCGTCATACACCAGGCGGCAGCTCACGGCGCACCCGCGAAGAGTGTGCAGTTTGCAGCCATCCCCACCCCGCTGCTACGCCCGGCCCCCGCGAGACGAAGTGGCGCGCCGCTCGCGTCAGCGGCGGGCGCGGTCGCGGCGGAGATCGCGGATCAGCCAGGGCTGCCCCCTGCCGTTTTCCTGAAAAAGGTTGCGGGCCTCGGCATCATTTTCTTGGGTGCGCTCCGCTTTGAACAGGCCGGAAAGGCCTGGCAAGGCAGCAGCGCTTGGGCCGAGCCACTTCCAGTGCCATACGCCCGGAGCCAACTGCCCGGGCATCCTGCAGCGGCAGGGGCCAGCAGGGCCCAGCGCACGCGGCCACCAACAGCCTTCGCATCCGTCCCATGCACAACCTCACAAACGGCGTTCCCGACGCGCACACATGCTCCTGTGCAACCGACTCAGCGTGCATGCATGCGAGCATGCAGGCATGCAGGTACGCCGACCCGATTTCGCCGCATGCGCCCCCCATCCGCCGTGCATGCAGGCGCCACGGTCAACTACACGATCCTTCAGTCCCTGCGGGACGCCGTGATCGTCACCAGCTGCGGCGCAGAAGCGCTGCCCTTCATAAACGGGTTCTGCGTGCTGCCCGCCTCGCTGGCGTTCTTCCTCTACTATGATAAGCTGGTGGGATGCCCTAGAGGGGTTCAGGGTGGTTCAAAGTGGCGCATGCAGCCCAGGGAAGCGGTTGGAACAGCACCCTGTGCGCACTAAGGTTGTGCCCCCGCGAAAAAGTGCATAAAGATTCCGAAATCACTCTAGATTGTTTGGGGTCGCGCAGTACCAGGAAGGGTTGTGGATGCACCCTGTGTGTAGCATGGTTGTGCAGCTCCGCGGAGCTCTTGGCAACGCACTGCAGGGCGGCGCTGCTCCGCCGGGGTTCTGTGGGCAAGAGATGGCGATAGGGGGAAGGCTTTGTGGGGTGTCCCTGGAAATTGGGCACAGCAGTCAAAGATACGGGTTGTTGCATTTTGTTTTTCAACAACCAACAAAGACAGCTCTGACGCACTGTCACCCATTCTCATATCATAGCCAAGTACTCATGGCATTTGACAATGCACCCGCCTTATGATATATACCAACAGAACCGCCACAACCCCTCATTTCCCCAACACTCGCCCCCTCCCCTCCAGGTGACCAAATTCGAGAAGACGCCCGACGCCGTCTTCTACTGGGCCATCGCCCCGCTGGCCGCCTTCTTCTCCTTTTTCGCCTCAGCCCTGCTGCCAAACGTCGCCGCCCTGCACCCCACCGGCCTCGCGGAGAGGCTGGGCGCCAGCCTGCCCGAGAGCCTGTCCTGCCTGGTCAAGATCTGCGCCAACTGGACGTACACGCTGTTCTTCGTGCTGGGGGAGCTCTGGGGCTCTGTCGCCATCAGCCTGCTGTTCTGGTGGGTGGGCCGCCCGCCAAGCTCCGTCTGCATGGCGGGCGAGGGCGCCCAGGTTGCGTGGAGAGTGGGCAAAGGGTGTCTGGCGGGGGACGCAGCGGCCGGCCGCAGCCCCCTGGCTGATTGTGCGCGCCGTCGAGTGAGGCGAGGTGCCTGCTAGTTACCGGTATGATATTGAGTCGGGGCGCGGCCGCATGGGCTCATGCTGGTTGATGAGTGCGCTGTCTGCACATGATGTCCCGGCAGGTCGCTGGCGGATGATGTGTGCACTGTGGAAGAGGCCAAGGTGAGGTTGTGGTGAGGAGTGCAATTGGTGTTTCAGCGCACACAAACCAGTCGATGGGTGCTTGGAAGGCGCTGTGCGTTTTTGGGGGGGGTGCAGAGGGGGGAGCTGCGCAGTCTTCGGGGGTACTGCAGCAATGTGTACCAGGCATCCAGCCCCGCATGCGGCGCTTGTATGAACAGGGACACGGGCGTGCATCAGCACACACATACACACAACACAAACTTGCACTCTCAAACACGCATGCACGCACACATGCACGCATGCACACATGCAAATACGCACACATGCACGTAATCCCACCCCCTGTGCCCACAGACCCTATACCCGAAGCTGGGCATCGCCGCCAACGTGGGTTTAGTCATCGCGGGGTCCTTCACGCGCCTGGTGAACGACGGACTGGCAAAGGGCGACGCCACACTGTCGATGCAGGTAGGTGCGGCGCTTTGGCGATGGCGGCGCCTGCGCCACGTGCTCGCGCGCATGCTGGCTGCGCGGCGCAGGGTCTGTGTTTGCGCGCCCAATAGTCTGCATGGGAGAGAGAATGCTGGCGTTGGATTTATGGGGTGTGCCTTTTTGGTTCAGGCCGTTTTTGTTCATGCCGTTTTTGCTGTGCACGGCAAAATCTGCTGGTGTGACTGGAAGGGTCCCTCAAGGGAAGGCACACGGGGCTCAGCGCAGCAGCAATTATGTGATTTTGGTACCTGTAAAGCAGCACTGGGCAAGGCAGACTTTACCTTGCAATTGTGGGCGTGCTGCGCTCTGATGCGGCTTCCGCTATTCTCCCCTTGAAGTGTGCCTGACTCTTGACACACCCTCTTGGCAGCCACCCCTGGCGTTAGTGAAGCCCCCCCTCCAAGATGCGTCCCCCCCCCGTTTGCACGGCCTTTGGCTGCCAGATCCTCTGCGGCACCGTGACCGTGATGGCGGGTGTCATGTGCGTCGCCAAGTACTTTGTGGACACGCAGGTAGCTGGCGGGCGGATGGGCAGCAGCTGAGGAGCAGCTGGGGAGCATCTGGGGATCGGCTGGCAAGCAAGCAGCAGGGTAGCAGCAGGGCAGCAGCTGGGCAGCAGCTGGGCAGCAGCTGGGCAGCAGCTGGGCAGCAGCTGGGAAGCAGCTGGGCAGCAGCTGGGCTGGGCTGCGTGATGAAAAACAGCAACCAGGATGGCGGCAAGGCCGCAGCCGTGTGAAGGGGGTGGGCCAGGGAGCCGTGGCCTGGTGGGCGCCAAACCATGGGTACTACACGCACAGTAGCGGGCGACAAGTGTTGCCCCCGTTAGGAAATCCGGCACTTACCCCCCATCCCCACACACACACACACAACCCTTGCTCGCGGCGCTGCCTTTGGCACGCCTCAAAGGTGCGGCCCCATCTGCCTGTGGCCGGCAGCAAGAGGGACGCCAAGAAGCAGCAGAAGCAGCAGCAGCAGCAGCAGCAGCAGCAGCAGCAGCAGCAGCAGCAGCAGCAGCAGCAGCAGCAGCAGCAGCAGCAGCAGCAGCAGGGGCAGCAGCAGGGGAAGCAGGCAGCGGAAGCTGAGAAGAAGCCGGACACCTGGGCAGTGCTGAGGTCGTCAGCGCGCATCAGGGACATTGCCATCATGGTGGGCGCCTGGGGTGGGGTTCAGCATCGGCTTGGTGCAGGGCGCGAAGGGTGTGTGCTCTGCTGCACTGCTGCGGCCTTGGGGGCGGGAGGAGCGACCGCCCCAGTCGTCGCGCGCCTTCGTTGAGGCCTGCTGAGGGGCGGCCTTGGTGCGGCGGCGGCTGCTTGCTCCCCACTGGCTTCAGCTGGATCGATGGAAACATTGGCTTATCCGTCGCGCTGCTCATCGGGTACGTGTGTCGGCTTGCACGCGCCGCCATCCTCAGGTGATGGGCTTTGGCATATGCAACAAGGTCTTTGGATGGACCTGGAAGAGTGAGATGCGCAAGGTGGGAGGGGACGAGGACTGCTGTTGAATGGCTTGAGGCTGTTCATGGGCGGGGGACCGGCAACGGCGGGCCAGGGCGGCCGGAGTCTCGGGGGGCAGGACTTTGCGAGGCTGCTGCACCGCAGAGTGCCTGCAGTGGCGAGGCCCGGTCCAAAAAAGCGAGGGTCAAGACTGTTAGAACCGCACGCACCTGTCTGTTGCGGCTGGCAGCCCCACCAACCGGGTCCTTTTTGCACATGCCTGCGGCCCCACATGGGGTGCACCTCCCCCACCCTTGTCTCAGCTCTACCCCTCCGCCACTGAATACACGTCCATCATGGGGGACGTGGCCAGCTACACGGTGCGCTGCGCAAAGCAGGCTCAGCGGACTGGTCTGCCTCTGTTTGGGGGGGGGGGCGTGACGGACGCGCATTGCGCCTGCCATGTTGTGGCTGGCGGCATGACTACAGCAAGGGGCCGCGCCCCGGCTCCTTGCCCCGCTGGCCCCGCCGCACGCCGCATCAGCACGACTGCCGCCGCTTGTGACCTGCATAACACTCACGGGCGAGCGGCCTTGAACTGCGTGATGACGTCATCGTGACGTCATCACCGTATGGTGTGACCCTCAGGGCGCCGTGACCATCGTCCTGATGGCAGTCAGCAAGTGGACTTTCCAGGTGGGGGGCTTATCCCTCAGGGGGTTATGAAGGTGTACAGGGACGCTTTTTAGTTTCTTAAGCTTGACGACCATGATTGCAGGTTCTGTACTGCTGATGCACAAAGCATGCAGTCATCAAAAAGCTTCACAATCATCGATTCGCGGCCAGCAGGCTGCCACTGGGCCGTCATCAGCCTGCCGCCATGCGCCGTTGCCCCCCCCCCCCTTCCAAACGCGTCCGCCCATGTCACCCGCCTGTGTCACCGGGGGACCGCGACTGTATGAGCAGCTTCTCAAGTGGAAGGGGGCGGCGCTGGCGACCCCCGTGGTCATGGGGCTCTGCGGAGGGATCTTCTTCGTCGGCTCGATTATGGGCCAGGCCGCTGGGGCCAGCCAGGTGCGTGGCGGGGCTGGGCCAGCCAGTGGGGTGCATACCGTATGTGACGAGGCAGGGATGAAACAACTGGGCATGAGGCGACAAAGCGGGGGCAGGGGCCCTTGACGGAGGGGCGGGGCATGTGTGCCCACTGCGGGGCATGCGGGCTCCTGGAGAGGCCGGGACAACGGCGCGCGGAGGCGGCACGGGGTAGGGGTTGCAAAGGAGTGACCTGCGCCAGCATCTACTTCATCGCGCTGTGCAGCCGCCATATGCGACGCCCTGTGCTGGCCCTCACCTCACCGCACGAACGCACCCATGCACCGATGCTTAGGCGCCCATACGAACGCACGCAAGCACACACACGCACGCATGCACACATCTGACTGTGGATACAGTGACGCAAAGGAGGATCTACCTCGCACTCACGCCTTAGCCTAAGGCGGCCTACTCGCACTCCGTTTGTCACTGCAGGCGGTGGGCGTGGCAGCGCTGGTGATTGCGGCCGGGCCCCTATTTGGCATCATCAATCAGGTGGGGCGGGTGGGGCTGCAGCGCGTGCCGGCTTCAAGCCGCCACCGCCAAGGGGCGATGACGGGCGCGTGCGTTGTTGGCACGGCAGGGGAGCCTTGCAGTCGTCATCGCCCAATGGTGATCCCATGCCATGCCCCAAGAAAATCGTGCTTGCCCCGCCGCCTGCCTGCCTTGGATGCGTGCCTCGGCGGGTGGCTGCCTCCGCCTGCCTGCCCTGCTATAAAATCCTTCACGACAAACTCGAACTCCTCACACCTGGGGTCTTCTACCCTGCCCTCACGCCGCGCGGCCAGGTGTTCGGCCGCGCGTCCAAGTACAGCCTGTTTGACCCCTGCAAGGAGATGCTGTTCATTACAATGACCGACAAGCGGGTGAGCGTGGCCCGCTGACGTCGCGCACACATCATCACGGCTGAGGGCGCAGACGCAGGCAAAGTTGGAACCAGGTATGTGTCACCATCTTGAGGACAAGTGCGGGTTTGTTGCCACATACAGATAATTGCGCAGCATGGAGGCAATCTTCTGGGTGGTTTTACTGATTTACTGGTGCGTCCATATTTGTTTTTGTTAGCGCTGCGCGCAGACACAGCCAGCCTCCCTTACCGGCCTAGCCCTCAAGGGGGTTTAGCACAGCCATGATTTGGCCTGCGCGGGCAAGCACGGACACACAGACCCGTACACGCACTTGAGCACTCGCTCTTTCGCACCCCACTCCTATCTATTGTACCACTTTCCTTCTCACAAGCTCCCATCCTCGCTCTCACACAAGCACGCAAGTGCACATGCACACAAAAGCGCACATGCACGCACACACACGCACACACGCACACACACACACACACACACTCACACGTGCGCGCGCACCCCCTCCCCCACAATCCCACGCGCGCGCGCACACACACACACACACACACACACACACACACACACCCCTCTCAGGAGAAGGAGTCTGGTAAGGCTGCGGTGGACATCCTGGGCAACCAGGTCGGCAAGAGCGGCGGCGCCTGGGTCATGCAGGTGCGCGCACATAATGGAGTGTTCGGCTCTGCAAGTAAGCCGAGGCGATACACCAGCGGTCCGCGGCAGACATGTTCAAGTTGTTGTTTCTTGTGTGTGGTGGGTGGGGCGGGGGGTGGCGGGGCGCGGCAGGTACCACGGACGGCAATGGATGGAATTGAATGTGTTGTGCGTGTGTGTTTGTGTAATGCTAGGTGTTTGTGTCTGTTTTCCTGTGTGCGCATGCATGCATGTGTGAAAGAGTGAATACGTGCCAGTAATGCTGGGTGCCCTGCTGGTACTCGTAGTTTGTCACACGTACATGACTCTACAAGTTGCATGGCGTGGGCTGTTTTGCCCCCATTCCATAGCCTGCAAACATATGCACGCACACACACGCCAACACCCCTCCCCCACACATGCACGCGCGTGCGAATGCGCGCACACACCCGACCACCACCAGGGCCTGTTGCTGGTGTCGGGCAGCATGAGCAGGGCCATGCCCCTCACCTCTGTCTTCTTCTTCGGCGTGGTGGCGGTGTGGGTGGGCGCGGCGCTGCGGCTGGCGCGCACCATGGCACCCGCGGAGCGCGAAATCGTCACTCAGGTGATCAGGGGTGACATTGGAAGCTCGCGCGGTTTTTGCAGCGGCTCGAGCAGGGGCAGGGGTGCCGCGTGCGCACATCAAAATGTCTAGATGTTGGGACGGACGCTAGCCCGCACCACTCAGCGGCGCCACTGCTGCCTTCTCCTGCTGTGCCCCAAACGCGGCGGCGGCCTGGGTGCCCCCCTCCGCCGGCGGTGCAGGCAGTCCGGGAGTCACCAGGGCTGGAGCCCCCGATGCCCCAAAAAATTGATATGGAAAAACTCAAGCCGCGCGCCGCCGCTGCGCCCGCGGCGCCCGCGGCGCCCGACGCCGCCACGGACGCCCTTGCTGCCGTGGCGACCGCCGCCGCGGCGCTCACCGCCGAGGGGCCGGCGGCGCCCGCCGGCGCGGCGGAGGGGGCTTCAGCGGAGTCTTCGGCGCTGACGGGGGCGGGCAAGGCGGATGTTGTTGTTTTGACGGAGCAGCGTTCGGGGATCGAGGCGCAGGAGCGGGACCAACACGAGGAGTCGCAAGTCAAAGAGGCCCTGCAGAGCCACTTTGACTGATCTGAGGCGTCGGCGCGACCTCGCGCGGCCTGGCTCTCTTTCTTCCCTGCTGCGACGCAGGGGGCTACGGGGTTTGCTGGTTGCAAGGGAGTTGGGGCGTATGAGTCGCGGCCCGTGGCCGCATGCATGGCAGCACATTGGATCCGGCGGTTTGGCGGCTTGTAAAATATCAGTACACGCCGTGCTTGTAACTTTTGTCATTTGGTCAACGCGCCGGTGCCTGGGGGCGCTAGTCGAAGGCCCCTGCTGGGGCAGGGCTCCTCCTGGGTGGTGAGGGCACCGCTGTCGCTGTACAGGGCTGCATCAGCATGGATGGACGTGGGATTGGCCCTTGGCAGGTGCGCGCGGCCTTGCTGGGGGGCCTCAAGCTTTTCCCCACGCCCAGCCCAAGTGTGAGGCGGAACCAGGCAGGTCCAACCACGGGGCGGCGTCGCGCGCAATCGTCTGCCTCCCGTGGCCCTCGGCTGAACAGAGCGGCTCGTGCTGTGCACAGCGTGCATTTGTTGCTCCCACTCTTGCCAGCATCGGCGCGACCTCACACGCGTTGCCCCCCCTGGCGGTCGCGTGTCGCTCCCCCTGCATGCGGCAGCTGCACCAGGGCCCGGCCGTCATCGGGTGACGCCGTTCCAACACCAACTGCAACCCTCGGGTGCAATTGACGCGATATCGGCTAATTATTTGAAACGTACGCAGCTCCTTGCTCTCATCACAGGAACCAATCTTGGCTCCGCCCTGCCATCGCGTCGGGACGGCAACTGAGAAAAACGCTTCTCGTTCGCCGACGACCCAAAGTTGCCACAGCGATGCTTTAAGCCAGCTTGAAAGCCGCAAGGACGATCCGAGCCAGTGACGCGGTCAACAGCAGCTCACCAGCTTCAACAGCTCCGCCCAATGCATAAGCGTAGCCCAGGCAGCGTCCATGCCAGCGCTGTCGTGGTCATTCTCACGGCAGCGCTGATATCGACCTTGCCGCATGCCTCCGCAGCGGCCGCCCTTGCGGCGGGTGGGGACGCGACGCGGCCGTCGCCGCGGCGCACCCAGGCCCCTTACGACGCGGCCGAGAGGCGGCGCCTGCAGCCGGTGTGGGGCCAGAATGGTCCCATAAACCTCGCGGCGGCAGAAAAGGCGGCGTCGCCAAGTCCTGGGGTACCGCTCTATGCGCCAGCGTTCCGAGCCCCGAGGGCCGCTGTCCCGTCGGTGCCCCGGCGGCCCCAGTGGGGCAAGCGGCTCCTCCACGGCGGCGGCGGCAGTGTCGGCGGCGGTAGCAGCAGCAGCAGCAGCAGCAGCAGCAGCAGCAGCAGCGGCGGCGGCAGCAGCAGCGGATCGGGCGGCGGCGGCGACGGCGGCACGCAGCCGCGCCGGCGGCGAATGCTGCAGCAGCGCTCGGGGCGCTGCGTCTGCGCATTTGACTTCGACCACACCTTGCGGGTGGAGCGGGACGGGCGCCAGGATGCGGCTGCCCTCGACGCGAAAGGCATCGTATCGGACTGCAAGGTGCGCGGCAACCGCCGACGGCCGTGCAGCGGCGCCCACGTCGCGCCCCAGGGCGGCAGACTCTCTCATTCCTCCAGTGGGCCGCCGTCAGTTGCGGGCGGCCGGTCGTGCCCCCGGCGCCCCCGGCCGCCGCTCCGCGCTCGCCGGCCCTGCACCATGCCGACCCCGCGCCCGGCTCCTCCCCAAACATCCCCACCAACACCAGTCCAAGGGCTACGCCGTCGCCATCGCTTCCGCAAACGACGATGTGTCTAAGATCGCCCCGGTCCTCGGCCGCGTCGACGGCTCCACCTTCAACGACGGGTTCTACAAGACCTCTGCCTTCCAGGTCGGCCAGGCGGACAAGTCGCAGGAGATGCGGCGCATCGCGGAGTGGTACCGGACGCCCGCAGAGTGCATCATGCTGTTCGATGACAGTGAGTGGCGGGCCCGGGCCCCTCGCGCTGGCTTTTGCGCTAGCTGTGGCGCGGCTAGACTGGTGGCAGGCGTCTTGAACCTGCCCCCAGTCGGCTTCGCCGCTGTGGCGCAGCTGCGGAACTCTTGGGCAGCACGGCGAGCTGTCTCGTCACGCGCGAGTTCGCCTCCGCCAGCGCCGTACAGCGCGGCACAGTCCGAGGCAAGGCCTGGGGCCCAATTGGGCCGTTTTCAACTTGCGCATTCCAGCGCCCGACGCACGACGCCTCGGCTGTTTGTCTCCCACGCCAAGCGCCTGTCCATCGCCTGACAAATGCCGAACCCGACCCCACAACAACCCTGCACCTTAAGGCTGGTTCAATAAGAAGTACGCAGATGAGACCGGCGCCGTCTGGCGGCGCGTGAGCGGCTCGAGTGGCGTGAGGTGGCGGGATTACGAGCAGGCGCGGAAGGATCTGCAGCGGCAGTGCGACTGCCGGTGAGGAGGCTCCTCTGCCCGAGGCCCCGCGAGCGGGGCCGGCCCTCCGCGACGCAGCCCTCACGCCCTCGCCCTCAGCCTGCTGGCTTGGCGTCTGCGAAATCCTTTCCAGGCATCGCTCAACCTGCACGCGCGCCGTGGCTGCGCTCAGGCATTCAAGCGCAAACGCTTCCTTCCTTGCTTCCGAGGCCTGTGTGGCGGCGGCCCCTGTCTCTCAGGCGTTGTCAATAATGCAGCCCTCTGCTCATCCGCCTGTCATGTCAACCCATGGGGCTTCCACACCCACTCCTTGGGCCATTGCACTGCGGTCTTCTCAAACTGCCCACTTTGTTGTTGTTGCCCCCTGGATAATCTGGTGCTTTTCTTTGCCCCAGAGTCTGGTTCAGAGTCTGTTTTCATCGAATATATGCCTGAACGATATCCCGGTCGGCTCTTCGCCATCGGCGTTTTGTGTGCGTGCATTTGCTTTTCAGCTGGCACCTGTCGTGCCCACCAGGCGAGGGTTTGAGGATTGTTGGGGTCGTTGTCCCAGCCGGCCCCGACCGCAGCTAGATGACTTAGCGCGTCGATTATTAGCTTTCATTGCGTAGCGGACGGAATCGCTGCTGCCGGGATGCTGATGCCATAGGCCTTGCTGCATGTGCCCGCCTGCTGGCCTGCGTGCCGTTCCAGATGATGATGTTATCAAGTCCCTCATAAGTTGACTTACTCAAGGCTGTAAACTCCAGGTGTTTGAAACTTTGATTTCTGTGTGGGGTGCTGTCTGGGGGTTGCTGTCAGGGTTGGCATGCTTGGTGCTCTTGAGGTGTTTGCCCAGGTGACTGGGTGAATGCGTGCGGCGGGTTCAAATGCTACACGTACGTAAATACGCGCCCCGCGCACAAAGAGGGCAAGGTTTTCCCATCCCACATGCGTTTCGTGCTTTACAACGCTACATTTAAGCGGTGCTGTGTGGTGCTGAGTCAGTGGTGCTCGTAGTGAGTCAGTCGGCAGCTGCACCACGACCAGCCCCTCACCTGGAGCCGCCGCTTTTCTCCGCGCCGCAGCCGGTAGCATGGAGACTGCATCGTAAGAGAAAACATGAACTTGAGGGAACCTCTGCCGCACTTGCAACCCCTGAAGATGAGATCCAAGCTTTTGGCCTGATGTGCAGCACACCAATGAGCTCTACCTGTATCATATGATGATAGCGTACCACAGTTCCCCTTGCGTGAGCGTGTCGTCCGCCTTTTACAGAAATTCTAACACAAATATCGTGGTTATCATGGTGTTGTACGAGGCTGGCCTTTGATCGGGTCGAGCTGCGTGCAAGGCGTGAGATCAAAGGAAACCATCACCATCATCACAGGTGTACTACACACAATCTTCAACTGGGGGACTGCCGCAGCTAGACAGTGGCAGGCGGCCAAGGCGTTCCGCCCATTCGCAGCAAGTCAGCTGCACCAGCTGCTGCTGAAAAATGCGCGCCCCGGCCGGGCCCGGGCCCCCTCTTATGGTGGGCAGCACCCAGCCGCGGCGCCCCACGCATGCATACAGCGCACGCACAAGAGCCTTTCGTCTGCGGCTGCAGTCATGTTGTCATGGAGTAGCGCGGCCTGACGCAGCCATGAAGGGCGTGTCAAGTGGAGCGCGCACGCTTTCAACAACTCCCGCGGCCGCAGGGAAAGTGGGTCACGTTTTCCGCAAGCTGCATCTTGATGGCAAGTGGCGCGCGCGCGGCCGGCGGCTGGGTCAAACGGGCCGGGGTCCAGCGCCGCAGCGGCACGGCGGCGGCCTCCAGCCAATGCGCCCGCGCCGCGGCGCTCGCCCCCTCTGCCAGCAGTGACCGCCGGCCTGCAACCCATGGCCGTTCTGCTGCTGCCATACATGAACAGTCACCGTCTGCAAAGTCGCACCGATGTGTGCCTCATACCCCATACCATGGCCGACAGGTGTGCTCAGGCCTGGCGTACTTTTACTCAGTTTACTCATCGGCCATAAAGGAGCGCATGGGGCTGACGCAGGTCGAGATTGCAACGGCCGGCAGCGCAGGTGCGGCGCGGCCGCACGTGCATGCGCACGCGCCCGCGCCCACGCCCGCGCCCGCGCGGTCCCCCACCCGGCCTGGGGGGCTCGTAATTGGCTCTCGCCGGGGGCGGCGGCCGGGGCGCCCCGGAAACCGCGCGCGGCGCCGTCCCTGCCCGCGGCCGTACCACTACATGCAGCCGGGGCGCCGCATGCGCGTGACGACCTGTGTGCCTCTGGCAGCGGACGCGCTGTCATCACACCGGCGTTTTTTGACCAACCCACGCTGGCCGCTGCCACGGCCGCGCGTCGGGTCCCCTTCCCTTCCCCCTTTAGTCAACCTCGGCGGCTACCTGGCCATCCTCAGCGGCAGGGCCTACGACGCCCTCAAAGACCACCCCACAAGGGGACCCCGGTGGGCGGCCCCTGCCCCGACGACGCGCGGCACTGAGCGCGCGGGCGCACGCCTCGCGCCCGCGCGGCCGCCTGGCGGCGAACCGGGTGCCCGGCGGCTCCGCTCCCGTGGAAGCGCTCGCTCTCCCAAAGGAAGCGCTTCCTGAACTGGTTTGTTCAGAGGAAAAGAGGGCTTTTTGTACATTTGTTCATGAAGTGCGCACATCCTGGGCACGTTCACAATGTGCACGCGCCGCCGCCCGCCCCCCCTCGGCCGCAGGGCCGTCGTGTGGATGGGCTGCCTGCTCTGCTTCAGCGGATACCTCGGGCTCCACCTCCTCGCCTCGGGCCGCGCGCGCGGGGGCTTCCCCGCTCTCCTGCTGTTCGCGGCATGCGCAGGTGCGCTCGGGGCGGCGCGCGCGCGGCGCGGCCGCGGGGGCGCCGGGAGGGGGGTGTGCGCGCGGGGCCGCAGCCGCGGCCCTCGTGCGCGCGGGCGCGGGGGCTGCGTTTGGCTTGGGCGGGCCGGCAGCGTGGGGCGGCGGCGCCGCTGGCCGGCTGCTGAGTTGCAAGCGACGGGCGCTCTGGCCGCGCCATCGTCCCTCGAAAGGCACAGACCGTCTTAATCACGACCCATCGCTGCCGCTTTTCTGCATCTCCCCAGGCAATGGTGGCACGTGGTGCGTCGCGGCGCGTCGGCGCAGACGGAGGGGGTCAATCAGCGCTGGGTGCAGCAGGCGTTGGCCCGAGGGTCGGCCAGACGCGTTTGGTGACGGCGGCGCGTGCGGGCTGGGCCCAGCCGGTCGCGCGATGTGCCGCAGCCAGGCCAGGCTCCGCTTGGTGGGGCTTGGTAGGTCATGTCATGCACAGTGCCCCCAGAATGCCTCCAGATTTTGCCTCCTCCCCTGCCTCTTCCCCTTGCATGCATCCTTGCGCTCGTGACCGATTGCTCTCTCTGGTCAGGTTTGACACCGCTGGGATGGTCACAAACGGTGAGCGTGCTGGGCGGTGCGCTTGGGGGCGCGTTTGCGGCCGCGTGTCGGTGTGTGCATGTGTGCGTGTGTTTGCGAGAGAGAGTGTGTGTGTGAGTGTCTGTTCGAGTGTGCGTGTGTGTGTTTGCAGCCGTGTTGTTGTGCGCGCGCGTGCCTGCGCGTGTGCACACATCAGCATATGTGCTGGAGCGCCAGGATCACAAACCATGAGCTCTTTGGACATGAGCACTCTTCAGTCGGCAACACGAAGTGCGCGCGACACCACTAGAGGCGACCCCCCCACCCC